TTTTTTGGGGCAATGGTGCTAAACAGCAATTGTTAGATAGTTTTTGGAAAGATTTATAACCTTTCTATAGAACGAAAATAGTATATCTATTATGATTTTAGTAATAGTCGGTTGTCTTCTTTCTTATGTACTTCCTATATTTTAGAACTAGCCATAAATAGTAAATAATTCAGCTCATATTAAGCACACTTTTTTGCCACCAACAATGTGTCTATTGTATCTACGCAGGTCTTTACTTAGTTTATTTTGAAGAATTTCCCAGGGTGTATCACAGCTAACTATTTGTGGGTTGCACTTTGATATTTACCAAAAAAAAATGGTTGCTCGATTTTATGGCAGCTTTTTCATGTCAGATGACTTAAGCTTGAAAGTGTCTTAATAAAACATATAATTTCCTTGTTTTCTTGGGAGTACAACATAATTTACTGGTAGTCATAAAAGTTTTCCGGTCATTAAAGCACCTGCTCTAATTTCGAACTAAACTGCTTGCGAAATCTAAATGTATGTGTGTGTGTGTGTGCATGATATTCATATGTGTTATAAAACTTTTCCAACTACTTTTGCTAATGCTTGAAGGCGTGAGCAATGAAATGCAAGCGACTAAGTGGAGAGAGATTATAAATTGCCTGCACATTCGAATATCCAACGTAGTCAAACTTTTTTATGCTTATTAAAAAGCAAGAAGTATACAAGTAAGAAATTTGTGCAACTTTTTGCCAGCAATTTTCAAAGTTTATCGGTTATGCCACAATAGCGGTGGCAATGAGCAGGTGTGTAGGCATGTAAAAAGCATGAAAATAAAAAAAAATAACAAAGAAACCGCTCCACAAAACTTATGTGAGAAATCTGGCAATATTCTTGTGCTTACACAATTCTCTCATTTTGACGATGAAAAACTTTAGAAATTACTATAAAAATTGTTGAGGGAATTCAAAAATAAATAAAAATAAAAACAAAACACGATCAGCAGAAATAGAATACACCAAAGAGTATGTAAAAAGTTGTACAGCGCAAGTAAAATTAAAGAGAACAAAATGCGAATGCAGGAGTACAACGAGTATGAAAGCTTGAATACTCGAAAGCTTGAATGCCATGGGCAAAGCAGTCGCCGCAAATGTTGCAGGAAAACATGTGAAATATGTTTTTTGATGCAACTTTTGGTGGGATCTTATTTCGCTTTGTTGTGGCAGCATGAATCTAGATAAGAAATTGCAGCAAAAAAAGAAGAAAGCAGAGAAAAAACATTTCAAGAAGCAGCGAAATAAAATTGCAAGTCAACTAGAACAGCAAAAGCCAGCGGGCGAATATTTTGCCATCGTTATTGTTGCTTGTGTGAAGCGACATTTATGCTGTTGCTATTTGCTATCACATGCATATGCTTGTATGTATGTGTATTTTGTTGTTGTTATGTATTGTTGTCGTGGCGTACAAGTTGTAAGAAGGAAATGGCAAAAGTCATAAAATCTCAAGTTTTATGAGCGCAAAAGGTCTAATCTCAGCAGGCGTTAAACTTGTTAGAACGCCATCAACCCCTTCCGTTAGACTTTAAGGGTTTATAACAAACATGCATGTAACTTACCTAATTGTGGTGAATGGATACAAACCATGTATGTGGACATTATTTGCATAAATATTGGCAAAGTGTTCAGATTTACGATTGAACGGTATGTGTATATACACATGTGTTTGTGTGTGTTTCCAGAAAGTTAGCACTTCTCGATGGAGCAGTTTTACCAATTAAAATGGAATTGACTGTTGAAGCATCACGGTAAATTGAGAAACCCACTTTCTATACCGTATGCAAGCTTGTGTTTGCTCTTTATAAACACCATGAGGAGATTCGATTTTTTTTCAGCAGCGCAGTGAGTGGTGAAGTAAATGCGATTGAGAGTTAGACAAACTAAGTAGTGACTGCGTTAGACTTTTAAGAAGAAAAAAACTGCTTGGCATAATATTTGTTAAATTAACCGCTTACTTCAATACCCCTGAGGGTATAAAAATTTCTAAGAAAATCTTTCGGCAAACGATGCAACATTCCAAATACTCGTGGATATTGATCTTTACTCAACAACCGAGCAAAAGCTTTTACCATGAAGCAATAATAATTATAGGATCGGACTTTAAATAGTGTTTTAGGCGGATACTGCTGGCAGGCAATCTATGGTAAGCATTTCCAGTATATTTCTTGTATCTTTCGTGTACAATTGTAAGATTATTTGTCATAAATGTCGAAACTCCTATAACCACACCAACAATTAACACATTCTAAAATCCCGAAAGCGCTCCAAATACGAATAAACATAAAAACATTTACAACAATTGTAAAGTTTAAATCAAGAATTGTAAATCACGTCAAATCATAAAAGGTACATTCTTTTACATCTTTGCATACATGAAAAGCAGAGGACACAAAGTCAGCAAGCGTACAACAGTCATATCTACACAATACAATTCGTGCTCTGAATAAATATGTTACGATTCAATATAAAACTTAAAAGTGCTACAAGCAAATGCATAAAAATTCCTGCCAATATGCAGTCATACAAGTGTGCAAGCACGTATGTATATGTGTGAGCACGTGTGTATGTGTGCGTGCAATTTAGCGGAAATGTTGCAAGGCAAACAAGCGGCTTAAGCGAAATTACATTCAGGCATATGTAAGCGATTTTCCACACTTAAGCGCAAACAGTAAAAATCGCATAAATTCACAACAACAATTGCCCGTATAAAAGTTCGAAATAAATAGCTTTGAAATCGCGTGTACAAGCAATAAAAGAAATTCCGATAGGACTCTCAGCACTTATGCACCGGTATTGTTTGTTGGTGTTTTGTAAACATGTCCGGACTACACTTTTGCATATATGTACATGCACTATGTGCATGTGTGGTGTATGCATATGTATATATATATATATATATATATATTCGCTTGACAAACACCTGCGCATTTCAATTTTGATTGAAAACTAATAGATGCGGCAGATCGCGTTGTGTACCATATATTGATTGAACAGCTTTAACGATCCTTATTGCATTTTCGCTCGCATTGCAAGGTTGCGTACATGTGCTATTGACACTGTTTAGCCCTGAAAAGAATACGTGCTTATGAGGTTCCTGATCAAGGATTGAGTTTATAGTGCAACAAATTTACTACATAACACTCTCCAGTTCCAGCGTGGCTCTCTTGGTTCAATTGCTTATTCCAAAGCGCAGAAAAAACTCATACGTCTACATTAATTTAAAAGTACGCCCCGTTTGTCTGGGTCGATATATCAATTAATATTTGATTTGGCATTATTTCGCGATATATAATATTGTGTCTCAAGTGATCTAGTGACGGCGAGGGATTTTGAAATATCGCGGAGTCTTAGCAATTTTACGGCAAGCTTTTGAAAATAGACGGTAGTGAAAGATGAGCTCAATAGAAAGAAAGCTAAGTTAAAAGATTAAAAACATCATATCCATATATTGAGCGGCGATATGCAAATAATTGAATAATATTGATTGCGAGATAGAGTGTTATCGCCATTTTGGGCATAACTGGGGTAAAGAAAGAAACGAAAGTCCTTTTGGCCAAATTAATCTCTCTTTTTATCATATAATATAATATATAATATATGTAGTGGTGCTTTCTTGAAGGAATATAATCTGTTTTTATTTATTTTTTTTCTAAATATGAGTTTAATCTGCGAAAAATGTAATTTGAAACCAAAACCGCACAATAAATGGCTTACATTTGCGTGTGCTGATTTTAAGTTACTAAATAGAAAA